TGTGCAGGGAGGGGGGGTGATGAGGGGTGATGGTGTGAGGGGAGGCTGATTAAGAGAGTGGGAGTGATGTGATGAGAGGGGGTGATGTAGGAGGGGAGAGGGGGGTGAAGGTGTGAGGGGAGGGGTGATGTGGAGGGTGAGAGGGTGGTGATGCGGGAGAGGGAGATGGTGAGAGGGAGGGTTGGATGGTGAGAAAGAGTGATGGTGAGGGGGGGTGATGATGAAAGTGAGGGGGGGGTAATGGTGAGAGGGAGGGGGGGTGGGATGATGAGAGGGAGGGGGGGGGGCTGGCGTGTGAGGGACAGGGGGGTGATGATGAGGTAAGGGATGATGAGAGGGGGCTGGATTATGAGGGGGGGTGATGATGAGGGGGGGGTGGATGTGAGAGGGAGAGGGGGGTGATGGTAAGGGAGTGGGGTGATGGTAAGAGGGAGGGGGGTGTGATGAGAGGAGATGGTGAGGGGGCATGATGAGAAGGAGGGGTGATGAGGAGAGTGGAGGGGGGGTGATGATGAGAGGAAGGGGGTGATGATGAGAGGAAGGGGGGTGATTGATGATGAGGGGGGTGATGATGGGGGTGATGTGAGAGGGAGAGGAGGGTGATGGTGTGAGGGAGCGGGTGATGATGAGAGGGGGTGATGATGAGAGGGAGAGGGGGGTGATGATGTGAAAGAGGGGGGTGATGGTGAGAGGGAGAGGGAGGGTGATGGGGGAGACTAAATACCTTAATTTCTTGGTGGTCCGGTGGGCTCTCTGGTGGTCCGGTTGCCATAATATCTGGTCTGCAGCTCCACAGAGCTGCAGACCATGTATGAGCTGTCAGGCCCCCTCCTGGTTTCAGGTCCTCGGTCAGTGTCCCTGGACCAACACAGTTTGCCCCGGGCGCCCTCCTACTGAGTGGCACCCAGGGCGGACCGTCCCCGTCCCCCCCTTAGTACACTACTGACTGAATGAGGGTATTTGTGTTGGATATATATTAAAGTAAACATTTTCAAAATTACAATAATACCACAGAAAGACACTATGTTTACCATGACCCTATTAGACTCCATCCCAGCAGTAGCATGTTAATGTGGAGCATTTTGTGCTACTGCATATACTGACACATCATTTGACTGATTCCCCTTATAAACATTTATGTATTCAATAAATGTAAGATATGGTTTAAAGGAACACTGAACACTGAAGTGGGTATGGTGCCTGAAGTCCCATAGTGTCAGCTCACAATTCAGTGTTTTTTAATGGTTTAACACTAAATGTGTGTCACTGGACAGCCTTTGTCACATTAAAAAATCTTAGATTCCAAACTTTTACCTTTCAGTCCATTAGTTCCAGCAGCAATTCCTGTTTTCCAACACTAATGGCCTCACTAGCCACTAATCTCGCCCAAAACACTGTCAACTGAATAGCATGATCATCCAAACATGCTATCAGAGGCCACACTAGACATGTGCAATTCGTTTCAGGCCGAATATGAATTTGGACGAATTTCGGGCAATTCAGACATTCGGGTACCCCTGAACGGTGGGTGGGGGCCCTAAAGTAAAATAAGGGGGGGCCTATTGTCCTCCCCCCAGCCCCCACCCATGAGCGGTGGGTGGGGGCCCTAAATACTAATTGGGGGGGACCTAATGTCCACCCCCTGGCACCCACCCCTGAGCGGTGGGTGGGGGCCCTAAAATACTAATTAGGGGGGTACCTAATGTCTTCCCCCCTGGCCCTCACCCTTGAGCGGTGGGTAGGGCCCCTAAATTAGAATGAGGGGGGAGGACCTTATGTCTTCCCCCCTGGCCCCCACCCCTGAGCCGTGGGTGGGGACCCTAAAATACTAATTAGGGGGGACCTAATGAACCCCCCCATCCCCCCCCGAGCGGTGGGTGGGGGTCCTAAATAAAAAAAATAACCCCTCCTCACCCGGGTGACTAGGTGTCCCCAAACGAGGGGGAACCGTTTAACTAAGTACCTGGAACAAAAAAAAAAAAACTTACCATTTGATGTTTTCTTTCTTCTAAAATCTTCTTTTTTCAGCCTCAAAAAAGGCCAAATAAAAAGCCATAATAACCGACGCACTTAAAAAAAAAAAAATCAGAGCGCAAAAAAAAAATCCATCTTCACCCGGCGAAGGCTCCGTGCAGACTTAGCTTTGCAGGGCGGAGGAAGGCTTATAAAGCCTTGCCCCGCCCTGCAATTAGGCTCAGAGCACTCTGATTGGTGGGGCCAGTCTCTACATTTATCTGTCACAACACTCTGATTGGTTGGTTTGAAATCCACCAATCAGAATGCTCTGTGTCATTTTACACAGCTTGGGAAAGTTCTTGGGAATTTTCCCACTCTGTGTAATTTGAGTCATAACACTCTGATTGGTGGATTAAGTAACCAACCAATCAGAGTGCTGTGACAGGTAAATGTAGAGACTTACCTGTCAGTATCTTAATTTACCTGTCAGAGCACTCTGATTGGATGGCTTAAATCTACCAATCAGAGTGCTCTGAGCCTAATTGCAGTGCGGGGCAAGGCTTTATAAGCGGAGCCCTCACTGGAAGATGGATTTTTTTTTTTTAAAGTGCGTTGGTTATTATGGCTTTTTATTTGGCCTTTATTGGGGCTGAAAAAATAAGATTTTAGAAGAAAGAAAACATCAAATGGTAAGTTTTTTTTTTCCAGGTACTTAGTTAAATGGTCCCCCCTCATTATTGTTAGGGTGAGGGGGGTAGGTAGGGGTTATTTTTGGGGGGGAGGGAGGGTGACTAGTGGTTTGGGGACCTCTAGTCACCCGGGGGAGGGAGGGTGACTAGTGGTTTGGGGACCCCTAGTCACCCGGGGGAGGGGGGGTTATTTTTTTTATTTAGGGCCCCCACCCACTGCTCAGGGGTGGGGGCCAGGGGGGAGGACATTAGGTCCCCCCCTAATTAGTATTTAGGCCCCCCCACCCACCGCTCAGGGGTGGGGGCCAGGGGGGAGGACATTAGGTCCCCCCAATTAGTTTTTAGGGCACCCACCCACCCTCAGGGGTGGGGGCCAGTAGGGAGGACATTAGGTCCCCCCCATTCTAATTTAGGGTCCCCACCCACCACTCAGGGGTGGGGGCCTGGGGGAGGACAATCGGTCCCCCCCCATTACTTTACTTTAGGGCCCCCACCCGCCGCTCAGGGGTGGGGGCCGGGGGGAGGACAATAGGTCCCCCCATTATTTTACTTTACGGCCCCCACCCGCCGCTCAGGGGTGGGGGCTGGGGAGGGCAATATCCCATTTTTTTTTTCTTTTTTTTTTCCCTTTAATAGACATGCCCCTACTCGCGGTATAATTACTCCTATAGGTTTTCCTATAACCTATCTGGGGCATATTATCTAACTCATTCCTGTAACCTTTCTTCCAACTCACCTATAATTTAATTTATAAGTTCTCCTTCCAAGTCCCCTATAATTTTATTTATAGGTTCTCTTTCCAACTCCCCTATAATTTTATTTATACGTTCTCCTTCCAACTCCCCTATAATTTAATTTATACGTTCTCCTTCCAACTCCCCTATAATTTTAGTTATAGGTTCTCCTTCATTCTTACCTATAATTTAATGTATAGATTCTGCTTCTAATACTCTCCTATAACCTGTCTCCTCATAACCTGCTTAGGGCATATTGCCTAAACCAATATTTCTGTTATCCTCCCTTATTTACCTATAACTTCATTTATAGGTTCTATTATCCCCTTTTGTCTGTATTGTTTCCTTTTCCTTTAAGTTCTGCTATAATTATTTTCTTGTCAAATCCTGTCTAAAGTTCAAAATAAAGAACATAAAGTTAACCTGATAACATAAAGATATACAGGTATTGTTGTTTTAGAACACTAGTTAACCCTGGAGTCTCTGTTTTAAGGCCTTTACATTGACTGAAGAAGTGTTCAAGACTTCTTATCCTGGCTCCTACCATGACATCCTGATACTATCTGAACCATTCTAATTCATACTTTTCAACTTGCCTCACTTACTGAACATTGCTTAACCAACCTGGAAATCCAGATTGTCTATTCCTCCCAGCTTTATTCAAATACTGGACTTTGATTTATTATTGAAAAACCCTGCTGTACAACCTCCAAGCCAAAGAGACTGATCCTCTAAACGTCAACCTTATCAGTATTACTTGTTTCTTTATATTGTTTAGTTGTATATAATTGTCATATAACCTATACTTTCTATTATAGATTTTCCTTCTCTTCTCCTTCATACTCACCTATAATTTTATTTATAGGTTCTCTTTCCAACTCCCCTATAATTTTATTTATACGTTCTCCTTCCAACTCCCCTATAATTTAATTTATACGTTCTCCTTCCAACTCCCCTATAATTTTAGTTATAGGTTCTCCTTCATTCTTACCTATAATTTAATGTATAGATTCTGCTTCTAATACTCTCCTATAACCTGTCTTCTCATAACCTGCTTAGGGCATATTGCCTAAACCAATATTTCTGTTATCCTCCCTTATTTACCTATAACTTCATTTATAGGTTCTATTATCCCCTTTTGTCTGTATTGTTTCCTTTTCCTTTAAGTTCTGCTATAATTATTTTCTTGTCAAATCCTGTCTAAAGTTCAAAATAAAGAACATAAAGTTAACCTGATAACATAAAGATATACAGGTATTGTTGTTTTAGAACGCTAGTTAACCCTGGAGTCTCTGTTTTAAGGCCTTTACATTGACTGAAGAAGTGTTCAAGACTTCTTATCCTGGCTCCTACCATGACATCCTGATACTATCTGAACCATTCTAATTCATACTTTTCAACTTGCCTCACTTACTGAACATTGCTTAACCAACCTGGAAATCCAGATTGTCTATTCCTCCCAGCTTTATTCAAATACTGGACTTTGATTTATTATTGAAAAACCCTGCTGTACAACCTCCAAGCCAAAGAGACTGATCCTCTAAACGTCAACCTTATCAGTATTACTTGTTTCTTTATATTGTTTAGTTGTATATAATTGTCATATAACCTATACTTTCTATTATAGTTTTTCCTTCTCTTCTCCTTCATACTCACCTATAACTTCATTTATAGGTTCTCCTTCATACTCGCCTAGAACTTCATTTATAGGTTCTCCTTCATACTCACCTATCATTTTGTTTATAGGTTCTCCTTCATACTCGCCTATAACTTCATTTATAGGTTCTCCTTCATACTCGCCTATCATTTTGTTTATAGGTTCTCCTTCATACTCGCCTATCATTTTGTTTATAGGTTCTCCTTCATACTCGCCTATCATTTTGTTTATAGGTTCTCCTTCATACTCGCTATCATTTTGTTTATAGGTTCTCCTTCATACTCGCTTATCATTTTGTTTATAGGTTCTCCTTCATACTCGCCTATCATTTTGTTTATAGGTTCTCCTTCATACTCGCCTATCATTTTTTTTATAGGTTCTCCTTCATACTCGCCTATAACTTCATTTATAGGTTCTCCTTCATACTCGCCTATCATTTTGTTTATAGGTTCTCCTTCATACTCGCCTATCATTTTGTTTATAGGTTCTCCTTCATACTCGCCTATCATTTTGTTTATAGGTTCTCCTTCATACTCGCCTATCATTTTGTTTATAGGTTCTCCTTCATACTCGCCTATCATTTTGTTTATAGGTTCTCCTTCATACTCGCCTATCATTTTGTTTAAAGGTTCTCCTTTCTATTCCCCTATAATTTAATTTATAGGTTCTACTCCTACCTCTCTCTCACAGCCTGTATCCCGATAGTCTGCTTAGGGCATATTGCCTAAACCTCTGTTTATGTTGTCTTTCTTTATATTCCCTATAACTTAGTTTATAGGTTCTCCTTTGTACTCCCCTTATAATTTCATTTATAGGTTCTACTTCGATTTATCTCTTACAACCTGTATCCTGATAACCTGCTTAGGGCATATTGCCTAAACCTAAATTTCTATTATCTCCTTTCGTCTGTATTGTTTCATTTTCCCTTAAGTTCTGCTACTTTTATTATTTTCTTTTCAAATCATGTATAAAGTTTAAAATAAAGAACTTAAAGTTAACACCGGCATACGTTTCTTGTCTGACCTGATGCAAAACCTGACACTCTCAGCCAATCACTGCTACCGATAGCTGCTCAGGCAGAATGCAGAGGTATTAGCCCACACCGCATACATGAGCTAGGGTGTAGCCAGGCAGAGTCCCTCATTCAGTGTTAAACATAATAAAAAACTGTTTAACAATAAACAGTGAAAAGAATGCACTCATCTAGCAGCATAGATATACCGCTACTAAGAAACTTTGTATTCTTGCTTCATTAACATAATTTGTTGATGTTCTCTGACATCTGAATTAACCTTCTAAACGTTAATAAACTATTATTTTATTTATATAGCGCCAGCAAATTCCCTAGCACTGTACAATGGGTGGACTAACAGACACGTAATATAATAGTACATGGGTTACATTCTATTAGATGACAAACTTGCATATTGTAAATGAATAGGAGTTTTCCTCTTGACGTCTGTGGAAAAATGCTTTATAATAATATTTTAGATTTGCTAACTCTTCTGTAGAAGCTGCACTTGTAAAAACTTTATTTAATCCATGTATCATTGTTACATGTATATCTCTAATATGCATTATATTACAAGAAATTATTCAGTGGAAAATTAGGAATATGTACGTACACATAAATATAGAGATTAAACAGAGTGAGAGACTAATGGAAACTGTAAGTCGAGTGGTACATCACATATCCAAGAAATTTCATATACCAGGTAGTTATGAGCATATCTCTTCTTATGTCCAATGGGTATTATAGGAATGTGATACAAATTGTGTATGAATGGAGAGATAAATTATATTTTCTTATGGTTTTAGAGAAACCCTAAACAGAGGAAATTGTAGAATATTTTATATTCCATGTTCCTATTGATATTCATATTTGGTATAGATGTCTAATAGGCTAACACATCAGATGGTAATGTACTATTCTGTATCATGAACAGTCTAGAATGTGGGTATCTACATAGAGGATTGAGGGTCTTCTTATGTGTCCTTATATGGCTAGAATCTTAGTTAAAAGTTTTGACATTATAGTCTTCATAATTATATAGAACCGTGGACAAATAACTCTCTCTTCTTTGTAGACTGATCTCCCTACAATATTATTAATCTGTACCATCTGCTAACCATCAATCAAGTGTTTTCTCCATATGTACTGCTATTTGCTTTATAACAACTTCATTTTTATAAAGAACGTCAGATTGTGTACTACGATTCTTTGTATATATAGAAGAATATTATGGCTAGCCACTTAAAGAAAAAAGTATATACATTAAAAAATAAATTCCAATCACACTTAAAGGAACACTATAGTGTTAAAAAAACACAATTCCTGACCCTATAGTT